AAGGCATATATTGAGTTTTTTGGACATTAAGGGTAAGTCGGTTTGATTGTAGCCAGCAGGAAACAAGATCGAATCCAACTTGAGCTACTTGATAGGTTTCCTCCCAGTTATCAGCTGAAAATATAAGGGCAGTATCGTCTGCAAAGGAGACGATCTTACAGTTTGGGATGTTGAGAGAACAGAGCTCATCGATATAAACTAAAAACAGGGAGGGACCTAGGATGCTACCCTGAGGGACACCATATTCTATGTGGAGGTCGGAACTAGTTGTACCATCTATTTTCACCATCTGTCTTCGATCCGTAAGGTAGCTTTCGAAAAGTTTCAGTTGATTCCCTCTAACTCCCAAGAATTCTAGTTTTCTCAATAAGAGGGGAATGGAAACCGTATCGAATGCCTTAGCAAGATCGAGTAGGATAGCTAAGCATTTCTGTCCCCGGTCAAGGTTTTCAATTACAGTGTTTGTAAAATCGTGGACAGCATCTGCTGTGGATTTCCCGGAACGGAAACCATACTGCCTGGAGGAAAGAGCCGAAGTGGTTTCTAGGAAACTCTTTAGACGCGAATTAATAATCCGTTCAAGTATCTTAGAGAGTGATGGTAGGATTGAGATTGGGCGGTAGTTATTTGTGCAAGACCGATCCCCAGACTTGAAGATCGGATGCACTATTGCCCTCTTGAAAGCAGTCGGGAAAACACCAGCATTGATACTGATGTTACATATGTGGGTGATTATGGGTACAAGTATCAGTTTGTAGTGTTTTAATAAGGCAGTGGGTATGTCATCCCAACCCACAGCACAATCCCGTTTTAGCGAACCAATAATAGATTCCACCTCAGCGTCGTTGGTTTCCAATAAGACAAGGGAATCTCGTCTAGGGGATTTGTGTGTTAGTACTTTGGAATAAGTGGGCGCTGTTGGAGTAAGGTTCTCAGCAAGCGTCTTTCCAATGCTCACGAAGAAAGAATTAACTGTATCCACTGATTCTTTTGGGGTGGGCTTAATACTTAAAAGGTCAGTTGCAGGAGATTTCGTTTTGTTCATATCTGTAATTTCTTTAATCGCATTCCACAACATTTTAGAATTCTTGCCTGCTTTATCTATACGATCTCTGTCATATTCTCTTTTGACTTTTTTTAATAAAGTATTACAGTAATTACGATATCGAACGTAAGTAACCCTCAATGCATCGTTTTGTGGACTATTTTTAAGTTTTTTGTGCAAGCTGTCCCTGTTTCTAACGCACCTTAAAAGACCAGGGGTTATCCAAGGTTTAATAAGTTTGCGTCGCCTTGAGAAAGACTGAAAAGCAGAATTTTCTAGGATGGCAGTTTGCAACATATCGATGAATGAGTTAGTAGCCAAATTGGGGTCTGTAATCTTGAGTATAGGGGTAAGATCAATGGCCTCCATCCATTTCGTAAGAGACTGATAATTTATAATTTTTGTCTTAGTAGGAGGAGTAGCTTGTCTGGCCATATGAATGGCAAGCAACACAGCTTCATGGTCAGTAACAGAAGAATGAATAACGAGGGTTTGTGCAGGGTGGGTGCTCTTCATGATGACATGATCAAGACATGCTTGGTTACGAGTAGGTAAATAATGAGCTGGTAAAAGACCGTGATGTGCCAAAGTATTTAAATATTCGTCAGCGTTTGGATCTAAGAAGGTGGAGTTTGTGTTAATATTTATGTCACCCATCAATATCACATTCCTATAATTATTTAGTGGAGCCAAAATATTGTTAAGAGATGTTATAAAGTTCTGAGGATTTCGAAAACCACAAGGACGATAGACGGCTAACAAAATAGTATCTTTGTTTATTTTTAAGAGTAAACAGCTTGCCTCTGAGATGCTGGGTTCAGTGATGCTGATTCCAGGTAATTTGTTACTAATGTAAACAATTACTCCGTCGTTTTGATTCAGAGGGTTGGTGGATGCGTATGAATTATATCCGGGTAGGCTAGGAATTACAGGTGTCTTTTGCAACCAACACTCTGTGAGTATTAATATGTCAATTTCGACTTTTATGCGATGCAGTAGAGTGGTAAAACTAGTTAAGTTAGCGGATATGCTTCGTACATTTTGTGTCAGTATCTTGATCGAGTTACAATTTTTTGACATAATCGAGTGTACTTCATGAGGATCACAATCATGCGAGGAGCTAACAGATACGCTATCAATTTTATTAATAAGGTCTGTATCACAGTTGAATTTTAATGTAAATGGTCACTAGTACATCAAGGAGACATAGCAGGGCGCATAAATAATGTCCTATTTCACACAATATTCTTATTACATAAAGGTAGAACTGTGTTCGAAAAACAGTCATTACGTCATTGTGGACAGAAAAAGCATGACAAGGCAAAGTGAGTATAAAGTAGAATTTGTTATTTGATCCATAGCATGATTTATGCATGAATTTATGCATTAAAAATACAAATAGAAGCATGCAAAACATTTGGTATAACGGGTAACAGAGTACAAGGTACAGATTTACTATATTATATTCCATATTATTTCTGTTATGTAGATACATAATGTAGATATTGTGGTATTTTGTAGTATAATTCATTTTAATATAAGTATAATAAAGAAAAAAATAAGAAAAAAACGTTATTATAGATAACAATGCACTAATTAAATGCGTTGAAATGTAATTTAGTTTTTTGACTTGATCTCCAGAAGTTGTAATTCGGATGAAACAACAATAAGCTTGGCGTTGTCTTCCTTTCTCAAGAGAACCCTCCCGTAAGCTGTCCAACAGTGCTTGAAACTTTCTGCCTTAGCAAATTCTCTAGCTGCATGAAAAAGTTTGCGTGTTCGAGATGTCAAATGTTCGGCAATGTAGATTTTCCGGGGCGGATCCTCCATCAGTATTGTTGTGTTTAGTTTACTTTTTTACTGACGATTATACTCCTTGTAAGCTTTTAAAATGTAATTTTTCGTGATTATTGAATTAAGAGTAACCAATATGGTTTTATTTTCCGATTTAGAAGGTAGTACCCGAATATCATATAAGTCCGAGTGCACTATCTCCACAGAAAGTTCTTTAAACACACGGGATGTTATGTCAATGAGTTCCTCCTGGGTCATTCGTTGTTTTAATGATAAGTTTCTGATTTCCAGGGTACTTAAACGAGTGGTTCTGTCAATATCATCTAAATTGTATTCAATTTTTGACAGACGCTCGTCAAACTCCTTTGATTTAGTTTGATAATCATTTAATTTTATATTCAGATCATCGTATTTTTGTGATAAAAAATCAATAGATCTTTCAATTTCCGCGTTCGAGGCGAGCAATTCTCCATTTTGTTTTTTAATTTCATACATGCAAGACTGTATATTAGAGAGCTTTTCATCAGTATCCTGCCTCCAAGCGGTCAGAGTATTGATAAATGAGTCAAGTTTCGATTCACACTCAGCTTCACAATCACAACGACGTCTTTTGTTTGATCTTAATATGTTATTATATTCATTAGGGCTCGTTGAGTCCGTATTTTGTTGCAGGTCTGGGGCAGAGCCATACTGCGGTTGCTGTGATTTAACCGGAGTGCGCATCATTTAGCCTTTAATAATATAAATACAACTTCACCGACAGTGAGTAGCCACTGAGTAATGATTGACTGCGTGAGGTGCGGTTATTAGCGCAAAAAACTACGCTCCTCCCTTTATTATCTCGCCACTGCACTCCTCCTCCTTAAAACCTGCTCTTGAGCACTAGGGCGTGGCCACTCGTCAACTTATCAGTGCTCAATGTCGGTGCGGAAGGTGAAACGGGTGATGAACGACGTTACACAATATAGTGGTATTACTCACATGCAGTGCGCTGTCCTTTTTTAATTATACTTGTTGCGCTCCGCGCACTACTGTTAACCTGGTACGCGCACTTCACTTAATACAATAAAATGAATTTTATAAAAATATTTATGTAAAAAATATGTTTACGGAGGATCTTTAAACACGTCTGTACGGTCAGACATCCAAAGAGGAGATTGTGCAATATTGTTTCTTTCTAAAAGAAAATTTAGAAAGAAACAATATTGCACAATATATAAAAATATTACTGTACGCAATAGTTGATTTTAATTGTTTTAAATGTAAAAGACACAAAAAAAATTACAAGATCATGTTATTAATTTAACAATAAGACTTTTTGTATTCAATCACTGCAAAACTTTAAATAAAATTATAACTGGAATGCAAGAAACAGTTGACGACACTGACCAGTACCAAATAATGGCTAAAAATTATTACAAAAAACATTGTAAAAGACCTCATAGTTGAATAAATTATTTATTAAGTCCAAATTATGTTTTATTTACTAATTAATGTATGGATATAATTAAAGCTTAAAGGACCAAGATATCTAAAGCATTTATATTAATCCATACATTAAAATACCTTTTAAAGCTATGAAAAATAGAATCTAAGTACTACACGCACACGATAAGTTGAGACTTGGCAGTATGCAAAATATTACTTATTTGTATTATTCTTCATTATAAATATAAATATGCATGCATTATCCTATGTTTCGGAAGGCACGTTAAGCCGTTGGTCCCGGCTGCATCTGCAGTCGTTAGCACCCGCCAATCCGCACTGGGCCCGCGTGGTGGGTCATGGCCCAATCTCCCTATTCCATCCATAGGGAAGGCCTGTGCCCCAGCAGTGGGGACATTAATAGGCTGATGATGATGATGATCCTATGTTATTAAAGTTAACTAATTTAATAATATTGGATAGTTTATAGTCATATTTATAAAATAGAATAATACAAATAAGTAATTTTTGCATACTGTCAAGTCTCAACTTATCGTGCGTGTGTAGTATAGTGGGTACCCTGAGGATAATTTCGTTGCATACAGAGAAAGTTGCCATCCGAGGGATCGAGATGTCGCTAGTAGTCATTGTAAAAAATCGTGAAGTTAGATCTCTATTCCCTATATATAAAAGACTCTGTGGTCACGACACGACACGTCAGAGAAATATAAATCCGGCATAACCCAATTTTAACCTGACAGCTCAGGCACTAGATCAGCTGATTGTCAGTTTGTAAAAGGAAAAAGCTTTGAAATTTAAAAAAAAAACATAATTCATAAAGAAATGGTTGAATATGGAAGGATTTTGGTATTATTTGGAAGCCAGACATTTACAGCAAAGGAAATCGCTGAGAGACTATGGAGAATGACAAAGGTTTTGGGATTTAAAGGCCCTGTGCAAGCTATGGATGAATATCCTATTGCTCAGCTGATTCACGAAGAATTTGCTATATTTGTTTGTGCAACTATGGGACAAGGGGACGAGCCCGATAATATGAAAAAATTTTGGAAGTTTCTGTTGCGAAAAAATTTACCTTCGAACTCTTTGATGAAGTTAAAGTTTGGAGTTTTGGGTCTTGGCGATTCTTCATATAGCAAATTCAATTTCGTTGGTAAAAAACTACACAAACGCTTGATGCAGTTAGGAGCTACACCTTTACTCGATATTGGTTTGTTAAAATATTATTAAATCCCACAACTTTGCTAACATTAATTTTTTTAAATTTTAAAGAGATAATTTGTATAGATTAATCTTGTACTTTTATAGGACTCTGTGATTATCAGCATGACCTGGGTCACGATGCTGTACTGACACCATGGCTGAAAATTTTCTTTGCAACACTTAAAAATTATTACCCAGAACTTGTAACTGATGAATTATCAGCTACCTTTGTGCCCAGATGGAAAGTTTCGCTACTGAAAAATAATAATGAACATAATACAAAAGAAATAAGTAAAGATATTTATTTTTCTAATGGACAGAAGGATGCCTTTGTTGATAGCTTGCTACTAGAAATTGAAAAAAATGTTAGGATCACAGATGAAACACATTTTCAAGTAAGTTTAAAGTAAGATTATATAACAATAAATAACTCTTTCAGTGTTTAGCAAAATTTTCAGAACCTGGTTGTTTACAGGATGTAAGATTAATCACTTTCAAAACCACGGACGAAACTATTCTCGATTATAAGCCTGGTGATATTTTCAACATTAGACCTCGGAATAGCAAAGAAGATATAGTTGATCTATTTCATATATTTGAAACGCACAATATGGATATTAAGCCCCATTACAAATTGCTGGTAGAAGAATGTCATGAAGGTATGTACTTTCGCTATGTACCTATTTTAAATTCAAATTAAATATTTATACAGTCCATTAATAGTGTTAATATTTTAAATCAAAGTTATTTTATATTTCTTCAGTACTTAGTAGCTAGTCAAGTTATTAATTATTAACAGTCATTAGCACCCACTGTGAAAAAGTGTAATTTTCTGAAAGTAACCATATATTTGTCTCACTATGTATCACTCAAAACTGGATCTACAAATCCCAAAAAAAATTACAAGTTGAAGTAAATATATCCACACGTGTGTATAAGTGCATGATTTCTGCCATGAGTTGAGAAAAATATTTGCATATTTTTCATTTTATCTTATTTAGTTATGGTTTTTAATTTCCACATCTAACATTTAGATAAGTTTGTAGAGAAAATATTCAGATTTAAGACATAAATGAAGCCCGGGGGGTGTACAGTAGAACTCGAATAATAAGAGGAAAATTGGCCAGAAAACTTTTTGATTCTGGCCATGAAAAACAAAGTAGATGGCTACACATTCAAGAGATTTTAATATATTTGAGAATAAGAGCAGAGAGAAATAGATGGGTTATAATTAGTAATTCTATTAATTTAAAAAATCTTCTGATAATTTATAAATTGACGACCTGAATTTGAATTGATTGATTGATTTGACGACCTCCGTGGCCGAGTGGTTTGTACGCCGGGTTTCATGGTGTCGCCGACTCGAGTGGTCCCGGGTTCGAAGCCCGGTGGGGGCAGATGTTTGTGTGATGAATACGAGCATTTGTTCTCCAGTCATGGATGTTTAATATGTATTTCTATATAACTATACTTGTATATGTATGTATTCTATCCGTTACCCTAGCATCCCATAACACAAGCCTTACAGTGATTACTTTAGAGCTAGGCTAATTGTGTGTATAAAAAAAAATATATATTGTGCATCTGTCAAATTACCCATCAACAACGATAATAAATATCTACTCTAGATACACCACGTGCGCTCATAAAGTGTCCTAATAAAGAAGTGCTTGAACACCACTCAAGTACTTCTTGGTTCACAGTCACGCGTGGACCGTTGAAAAGTCAAATTGGCGCATAGCTCCGTGAAAAAATGTGATAAAAGTGTCGTTTTCTCGCAGGTATCTAATAAATGTTTGATAATTTAACGTATCTGAAGCAAATTTTGTCGTAATCTATACATATAATTAAATGGTAGGAAAGTCAAAACTGTACATTGAATATTTTTTTACTTTCTGCAATCAATACCGAAGCGAAAAATATAGTTTTTAGAATTTTTGTCTGTTTGTATGTCTGGGATAAACTCAAAAAGTACTGCATGGATTTACTTAAAATTTGGCACAAATATTATTAAGAAGTCGGATCAACATGAAGGCTACATATTATCACGCCATCACCTACGGGGAACGAGCAGTGAACCCCCTTTAGGGATCAAAAAGTATGTGCAAATAACTAACTCCACGCGTACGAAGTCGCGGGCGGACGCTACTACATAGTATAAACAATATTTGTGATATTCAAATGCATGGTCGGTAATTAGGGTTACCAACTTTATTTCTATCAAATATAGTATTTTCGAAGCTGTTACCTCTAAAAACATAGTAGAAAGCAAAAAATGTAAAAAATATAGTATTTGTTTAAAATATTTACTATAGTTTTTAAATGAGTATATTTTTGCTGCTCTAAACCTTAATAATTCATTTTATACTTTTAAGTAAGCTTTTATTGGCAAAAGTCTGCTTTAAGCAAAGAAGTACTATATTGCTATATGCGCATTCAGAATTGCCTGTAGAGTCAAAAAAATGAGGTCTATATTCTTGCGCATATAGCATTAAGTCGTAAAATTTTACGAGTTTGCATTTCGAACTGTCATAACTCTTTAAGGCATGCGTTTTAATTATAACTTTATACAGTATGTATTAAAAGTGACTTTCAATGTTTAAATAATGCCTTATATTGTTTTTGACTAGACGATCATCTTTTACGGAGCTCCGTGGATCATCCAATGTACTTTTTGGACAGGTTTCGGGCACGATTTTGTTCGTGTTGGTGTATCTAGGTATTTAATATCATTGAGTATTAAAGACAAAGAGAAATTCGTGTTTGAGGTTGGGACATACGTTAACGTTGGGAAGGGGTTCCCATCTAGCGAAATTGCATTGCAAGAACAGGGCAACCTCACTTCTGCCTCATGCTTTCGGTGTCCTGCCTCTGCGAAAGATGGAATTGAAAAGCTTCTCTCTCAGAATTTCTGCTGTGATTCCATCATCCTCCCCCCGCCTTGTTACTTTTAATTTGTTTGAGATAATCTATAATCTCGATAATCCATAATATTCGAGCAAGTTTTTTAGCTATCCAAAATGGTATAAAATTCCAAGTATAGTGGTCAGGTCAACGCTGAATGTCACAAAGTGGTCTCAGGCCGTAAATGCTAAATGTTAACAAATAAACAGAATGTTATTTTAAAAAGGGTAATATTAGTGACAGTAAAATACAATTTTTAGTGACAAAATTATTGAATTACTAAGTTTTACTAAAGCCCACCATTCACTACACGCACCGCGAGCCGAACCCCGAGCCGTACCGTACCCATTCGTGGACAAATCCGTCATTGCCCACACACTACACGAGCGCCGAGTTACAGTCCAGTCGCTTAGTCGCTTGTGTACTTTGGTGAGCCTCGCGCGTATCGTTCTTCTCTACCCTACCATGCCACCGGTGCTTTCCAAATGCACAAAAGTCGCTTTAGTAGTCGGTGCAATACTTTTAACAGAGAATAAAAAGAAAAAGAGCGTCTGAACAAAGGAATGGCTGAAGCAACGAACAAAATATACTCATTTAAAATTGCTGCAATGCATTCAGTCCTGTAAATCACCTGTTTCTCTTTAATTTTCTCTTTAAAGTGGTGTACACATTAAGCGTTTTCCAACGCGCGCTTTGCTAACGCGCGTTTCGAGAACCAGGAGTTCTATTGAAGTGTACACATGCAAGCGCGCGATTCTGGTCAAGCGTGCGTCAAACGCGCGTTCTCATGTTTTACGTATGGCGTTAGCTGCGCGCTTCGAGATACTTGGGCCGCCATTTTTTTGTACATTTGATCGCGCGCTTTGGTGTAGTGTAGACGTCAGTTCAACGGAAAAATGGATACCGAACATTTTGACACAGATTTCTTTATTGATGAAATCCAAAAGCGACCAGCTATTTGCGACATGAAATGTCCCGATTATAAAAAAAATAAGACGCTAAAAAGACGTAAAATAAAAAAAAATACGCCGTCTTTTATAGCGACGGTAGAGGAGCCACACACAAGTAATCACTTGGGCATCCATTTTCGGACTGCGAGAACAGTGTTGCCAGTACCTGCGTCGTGTTTCGGACGATTTGAAATCTGAAAAGGGACGATTTTTAGTCAAAAAGGACGGCCTTACAGAAATATTAAACTAAAGGCTGAACTATATTTATCTTACGTGTTGTATTGTGGCGCAATCTGCTTCATACATTTAGTACGGTTAGCACTAAGAACTATACCTGTGTGTCGCGATGTTTCGACAGCGTTCTCACTTTAACCATAATTGTATGAAAGAGATAGCTCTCTGATGTGTTACAACACAACACGACAGGTAAGTGTAGTTCTATCATAATTAGAGATGGGTAGTGGGTTATAACCCATTTGACCCGATCGGGTTATAACTGGGTTGTTTGGGTTATAACCCAGTTATAACCCATTATCACACATTTTAGTGGGTGAAAATAAAAAAAAGTATTTTATTTTGATATTGAGAATTTGTATTTGAAGTTGGGATGTAAAATGAAAATCTGAATGCAAAAAAGAACATTTATTTTTAAAAATCATAATTTATTCATCATCACTGTCAGTAGATAGTCTATCGCAATCTAGAAATTCAACGTTACTAATTCCGGACGTAGATGGCTGAGGGCTAGCAGCGCGCGGTGTACTAAACGTTGATGACGGTAACTCAGTCATGCAATCTTCAGCATTATCACTGGAATCTTCCACATGTTTGTGCAACAAGTTCCAATTGTATGTCAAAAATGTTAATTTTTCTGCTCTTTCTGTTTTGAGTCTATTTCGCTTTTTATTGTGTATATTGCTGTGAGCACTAAATGAACGCTCTACAGCCGCGGAAGTGCAAGGTGCTGTAAGAATTCTAACGGCAACTTTACTTAATGCCGTAGATCCGCACATTCCTTTCCACCAAGTTATTGCAGATATGTTGTTTATGCCATCCCAGAGAAATGCTCGACTCCAAAAACCATCTCTTGCTCGGTAAGAGGCCAGGTTTTCTTTTACATTTAAGCCGATGGATTGTCCCACTTCATAAATGAATTCCATGGCATCGAGTTCTTGATTTTCATCAAGTTCAGATCCCTGATGTAGAGGGTCTAATAAGTAAGCCGCAAAATGGATAGGCTTAAGGCACATTTTTATTCTTTCGTCGACATTCTTTAAAATTTCATCTTTATTTTCTATTATTGTTATGTCTGGTAAATTGAAGAGTAACTTTGACTTCATGTCTTTCAATTTCAAAAACACTTTATGTATATTATTTTCATTTCCTTCCAGCTGAAATATTGCGTCCGACATTGGTTCTAAAATTAGTTTACATTGCTGAACAATCTTCCAAAAGTTTTCATCTAATAATGAAGATTTTTCTTCCGAGGGTAGAAGTATAGCTCTTTCATGTACAGCTAAAGTCTGCAAAGCAACTTTTGTGTTTTCTACACTTTTGAAACATGCATGATAACTACCCCATCGAGTATCGCATGGTAACTTTAAAGATTCACCGTATTTTTTTTCTTTTACTATTTGCGCTAGTAACGATGTCAAAACTTGACTTCGTTTTATAGTTTTTATCATATTCACTGTCATATTTTTGCAAGCATTTATGACTTCTATTTTTGTTATACTTTTGCAGAGCAAGTGTAAAGTATGAGCTGCGCAGTTGAGATAAGTTACATGTGGATGAATATCTTTAAC